TCCCCCACAGCTATCTCCTCCTGTACCACCATCCCCTATCTCCTAGATTGTAAGCCCGAAAGAGCAGGACCCTCAAACCCCTTGTATATCGCATTGTATTGTTATTGTACTGTCGCATTTTCTGTCCCCCTTTGTAATGTACAGCGCTGAGCGAACTATTAGCACTTTATAAATACTGTATAATAATAATAATAATCAAAGTATAGCATCTAGTCAATTAAACTCCTGGGATATTGATCTGGTCAGTTAAGTAGCAGAGGGGGTTGTTAATCAGTTTCAGCTGCTTTGATGTGAAAATAATTAACAACAGGTGCACTAGATGGGCATCAATGAGACAACCCCCAAAACAAGAATGGTATTACAGGTGGAGGCCACTGACATTTGTTTCCCCCTACTCATCTTTTCTGACTGTTTTTCACTAGTTTTGCATTTGACTAGAGTCATTGTCACTTCTGGTAGCATGAAGTGATATCTGGACTCTACAAAGGTTGCACAGGAAGTCCAACTCCTCCAGGATGGTACATCCATATGTGCCATTGCCAGAAGGTCTGCTCTGTCTTCCAGCACAGTCTCAAGAGCATGGAGTAGATTCCAGAAGACAGACAGTTACTCTAGGAGAGCTGGACAGGGCCATAGAAGGTCCTTAACCCATCAGCATGACCAGTATCTGCTCCTTTGAGCAAGGAGTTACAGGATGAGTACTGCCAGAGCCCTACAAAATGACCTCTAGCACTGGTGTGAATGTGTCTGACCAAACAATCAGAAAAAGACTTCACGAGGGTGGCCTGAGGGCCCGACGTCCTCTGGTTGAGCACATGATACGCGTCAGGAGGAGCCACATCACGCCGTGACATCACGCCACTGGAGCAACGTGGAGCTCTGGTGGCCATCTTTGAATACCAGACGGTTAGTCCCTTATACAGGGAACATCTGTTTACACTCTAATGTACCTTTGATGCATCAATTTTAATATTTTGGTTTGATATGCCTCATTAAATATTCTTAACCATACTACACTATGGACATTCCTTTGTTCTAACCCCCTGGGGGGAGTCTTCAATTCCCAGATCATACTGCCTCAGGACTGATCTCTGCATCCATAAAAGGGAATACCACGCAGGGAGCAATACCAGTCTCATCCCTGAAAGGGAACTCTGACGGACGAGGATCATTCATATAAACCCACATGGATCCTGTCTGATGACCTACCATCACTTAGAGGGAAGACCACCCAGTTCCTGACCCGTTACTGATGACATCTGTAATATTGATATAAAGGCGCATTTCATATGCGCGTTCGGTGAGTGCGCATTATCTACTATATCACCGCACAGACACCAGTTCTAATTATTACAGGAGCACAAGAGTCACTTTATGAACTGTCTTTTATCTCTTTATTTATGAACTATTTATTGGATATATTTTTATATTTAGTGAGTTTTATATATACATATTTTTCATGATTTTATTGAGCTTTTAGCGCTGCACCCCTGTTTATATTACTATTTTGGTATTTTTTTGGTTTATCATTGCGCATCAGCTGCTTCCATTTTAAGTGCGCTCACCACCCTTTATTTATATGTTTGGTGCACAACAATGCTCGGCCTCATGTGGTGAGAGCATGCAGGCAGTTCCTGGAGGATGAAGGAATTGATACCATGGAATGGCCCCCATGCTTGCCTGGCCTAAATCCAATAGAACACCTCAGGGATATCATGGTTTGGTCCAACCGACGCTGCCAGGTAGCACCTCAGACTGTCCAAGAGCTCAGTGATGCCCTGGTCCAGATCTGGCAGGAAATACCCCAGGACACCATCTGTCATCTCATTAGGAGCATCCCCTGATGTTGCCAGGCATGCATACAAGCATGTGGGGGCCATACAAAATACTGAGTACCATTTTGAGTTGCTGCAATGAAATTTCAGCAAAATGGACTAGCCTGCTGCATAATTTATTCACTTTTGGGGCGTCTTTGAATTCAGTCCACTGTAGGTTGATAATTTTTATTTCCATCAAACGATGGGGCATCCTTGCATTCCTAACACAATACCCAGTCCATATCAGTATAGATATCCAGCATGAAATTTTTCCCCATCGAGATCTGATGTGTTTTCAAAGTGTTCCACACACAGTATGTTGCTCATCCTTCTTGCTAATTACTTGTTATGTTCTTTCTAGGTATTGTTGTGCCTCTCAGTGATTGAAGGTTGACCTTTGGTTACTATGTATTCTACATGTTGAATGTATGTGGAAGACAAGCGCAAGTAATGGTTTCAGTGCATGTCTCCCACTGTATATATTAGCACGAAAGAGGCAAATCAGAGAAAAAAATTATTTAGAGACAGATTCTGGAGCTACATGCTTTTTATAAGGACTGCTTGCTACAGGTGCAGTTATTATCTGGCCCCAAATCAATTGCTAATTCACTTCAAATAATATGTAGGGGGTGTCTGAGTCCAGCCAGGCCCCCTTCTCACCCAAAGTGTGGTATTTTCCTTTTCAAGCCTTTTCACCTGGCCACTTTATTTTTTTATTTCTGCTTTTGACTTTCAAGCTTCCTTAAAACTGAATTCAAGGCAAGATCTGTATAGCATACTTATATTGTCCAGCTTGGATCAATGTAAATATGCATAGCTAATACCCAAGGGGTCACAGGGGAAGCTGACAAACACTGTAGTAGCCAGCAATACTAAAGTGGTAGGTGTGATGTTCTAGATGCCAAGCAGCTTCCCCTCTATACATTGACCACAGGTGGTTGCCAGCTTGATACTGCAACCGTTCACAGAATGACCTTGTATTCACGGAAATAAATTAATGAGCCAGCCCCATTGAAGACCAATTGTCCAAAACATGTTGGCCAGAGTATGAGTTGAGTGGTGTTTCACACACTATCGCAGGTTTTGTGAACAGGGTGAACTCTTTATTTTGTTGTTCAACAAATGTGTTTTGATCTGCACAATCCTGAGTGCTTCTTTTTTGTATCCCCACCTGAGCATAGAAAATACCCTCACAATGTCTGTGAAACCAGGATTGACTGGCTGATCCCTGTAAAGTTAATCTGGTAAAAATGACCTTGAAGTGAATCTCCTAAATATTTGAGGTCCACAGCAAATTGCAGTGGTTCTACATTGGTGGAGGCACAGAGATTCTGTGAACTCCCAGTCGGGTAGACAGGAATATGTCTTTTAGTTGGAATAGACTGCTATTGACATTTTAACTAGAGATGAGCGAATCGAACATGCCGAAGTGGAATTCGTTTCGAATATCAGGAAAAATTCGATTCGCGCCGAATCCAAAAATTAGCAAACTTCGGATGCACGAATCGAATTTTCCCAAAAATGGCGGCGACATGTGTGGCGACAGAGCGGGGATCTCTGGGAAGGCGTGCAGACAAGGCGCGCTGACCCATAATGCATTCATTCATGACATGTGATCGCATTAGCCAATCAGCAGCCAGCCAGCCAGCACTGTGTAATGGTGGAGCTATAAATTGCGGCCATCTTACAATTCTCCATTAGCCTCCGGTCATTCAAGAGAGACAGACCTGTCTGTATTAGGGACAGAGTTAGGGCCAGAGAGACTTTAGGGCCACAGAATCGTTACTTAGGGACACAGAATCGTTACTTAGGGACACAGAATCGTTACTCAGGGACACAGAATTGTTACTCAGGGACACAGAATTGTTACTCAGGGACAGACACAGAATTGTTACTGAGGGACACAGAATTGTTACTCGGGGACACAGAATTGTTACTGAGGGACACAGAATCGTTACTGAGGGACACAGAATTGCTACTGAGGGACACAGAATTGTTACTCAGGGACACAGAATTGTTACTCAGGGACACAGAATTGTTACTCAGGGACAGACACAGAATTGTTACTCAGGGACACAGAATTGTTACTCAGGGACACAGAATTGTTACTCAGGGACAGACACAGAATTGTTACTCAGGGACACAGAATTGTTACTCAGGGACACAGAATCGTTACTCAGGGACACAGAATCGTTACTCAGGGACACAGAATTGTTACTCAGGGACAGACACAGAATTGTTACTCAGGGACACAGAATCGTTACTGAGGGACACAGAATCATTACTGAGGGACACAGAATTGTTACTCAGGGACACAGAATTGTTACTCAGGGACACAGAATTGTTACTCAGGGACAGACACAGAATTGTTACTCAGGGACACAGAATTGTTACTCAGGGACAGACACAGAATTGTTACTCAGAATTGTTACCCATTGCTGCTGTCTCCATCGCCACACTCTGCCATGTGCCACTTTCAGGTCTCCTCACACTGCTGGTGGGTTCCATTTTGTCATAGGGTGCTGGCAGATTACGGGCCTCCCAATGCTGCTGCCAGGCCCGTAATCTGCCATGGGCCCCTGTACCGCATCCTCATGCTGCTGCCAGGTCCAGAGTGTGTCATGGGTCCCTGTACGGCCTCCCATTGCTGCTGTCTCCATCGCCACACTCTGCCATGTGCCACTTTCAGGTCTCCTCACACTGCTGGTGGGTTCCATTTTGTCATAGGGTGCTGGCAGATTATGGGCCTCCCATTGCTGCTGCCAGGCCCGTAATCTGCCATGGGCCCCCGTACCGACTCCTCATGCTGCTGCCAGGCCCGTAATCTGTCATGGGCCCCTGTACCGCCTCCTCATGCTGCTGCCAGGTCCAGAGTGTGTCATGGGTCCCTGTACGGCCTCCCATTGCTGCTGCCAGGCCCGTAATCTGTCATGGGCCCCCGTACCGCCTCCTCATGCTGCTGCCAGGTCCAGAGTGTGTCATGGGTCCCTGTACGGCCTCCCATTGCTGCTGCCAGGCCCGTAATCTGCCATGGGCCCCCGTACCGACTCCTCATGCTGCTGCCAGGCCCGTAATCTGTCATGGGCCCCTGTACCGCCTCCTCATGCTGCTGCCAGGTCCAGAGTGTCTCATGGGTCCCTGTACGGCCTCCCATTGCTGCTGTCTCCATCGCCACACTCTGCCATGTGCCACTTTCAGGTCTCCTCACACTGCTGGTGGGTTCCATTTTGTCATAGGGTGCTGGCAGATTACGGGCCTCCCATTGCTGCTGCCAGGCCCGTAATCTGTCATGGGCCCCTGTACCGCCTCCTCATGCTGCTGCCAGGTCCAGAGTGTGTCATGGGTCCCTGTATGGCCTCCCATTGCTGCTGTCTCCATCGCCACACTCTGCCATGTGCCACTTTCAGGTCTCCTCACACTGCTGGTGGGTTCCATTTTGTCATAGGGTGCTGGCAGATTACGGGCCTCCCATTGCTGCTGCCAGGCCCGTAATCTGCCATGGGCCCCCGTACCGACTCCTCATGCTGCTGCCAGGCCCGTAATCTGTCATGGGCCCCTGTACCGCCTCCTCATGCTGCTGCCAGGTCCAGAGTGTGTCATGGGTCCCTGTACGGCCTCCCATTGCTGTTGCCAGGCCCGTAATCTGCCATGGGCCCCCGTCCGACTCCTCATGCTGCTGCCAGGGCCGTAATCTGTCATGGCCCCTGTACCGCCTCCTCATGCTGCTGCCAGGTCCAGAGTGTGTCATGGGTCCCTGTACGGCCTCCCATTGCTGTTGCCAGGCCCGTAATCTGCCATGGGCCCCTGTACCGCCTCCTCTTGCTGCTGCCAGGTCCAGAGTGTGTCATGGGTCCCTGTACGGCCTCCCATTGCTGCTGTCTCCATCGCCACACTCTGCCATGTGCCACTTTCAGGTCTCCTCACACTGCTGGTGGGTTCCATTTTGTCATAGGGTGCTGGCAGATTACGGGCCTCCCATTGCTGCTGCCAGGCCCGTAATCTGCCATGGGCCCCCGTACCGACTCCTCATGCTGCTGCCAGGCCCGTAATCTGTCATGGGCCCCTGTACCGCCTCCTCATGCTGCTGCCAGGTCCAGAGTGTGTCATGGGTCCCTGTACGGCCTGCCATTGCTGCTGTCTCCATCGCCACACTCTGCCATGTGCACTTTCAGGTCTCCTCACACTGCCGGTGGGTTCCATTTTGTCATAGGGTGCTGGCAGATTACGGCCTCCCATTGCTGCTGCCAGGCCCGTAATCTGCCATGGGCCCCCGTACCGACTCCTCATGCTGCTGCCAGGCCCGTAATCTGTCATGGGCCCCTGTACCGCCTCCTCATGCTGCTGCCAGGTCCAGAGTGTGTCATAAGTCCCTGTACGGCCTCCCATTGCTGCTGCCAGGCCCGTAATCTGCCATGGGCCCCCGTACCGACTCCTCATGCTGCTGCCAGGCCCATAATCTGTCATGGGCCCCTGTACCGCCTCCTCATGCTGCTGCCAGGTCCAGAGTGTGTCATGGGTCCCTGTACGGCCTCCCATTGCTGCTGCCAGGCCGTAATCTGCCATGGGCCCCTGTACCGCCTCCTCTTGCTGCTGCCAGGTCCAGAGTGTGTCATGGGTCCCTGTACGGCCTCCCATTGCTGCTGTCTCCATCGCCACACTCTGCCATGTGCCACTTTCAGGTCTCCTCACACTGCTGGTGGGTTCCATTTTGTCATAGGGTGCTGTATGGCCTCCCATTGCTGCTGCCTCTACCGCCACACTGTGGCTCCACACTCTGGTTTTGGCCCCGTGACTGCCCAAATGAGTGAAGTGTGCGGTGATTCTAAGATCGACGGCACTCATCTGCATGTCATACTGACTGACAGTATTATTTCTCTTCCCCAGCAGACTCCAAGGGCATTTAAATTAAAGGTACAGTGTTCTGCACTAATATAAATGCTCTCTGAAGCCTAGAAACACCCTTTTTATAAGTTAAATTCGCAGCGAATATATTCGACTCGAATCGAATTTATTCCGCGAATTCGCCGAATCAGCCGAATCGAATTTTTGAATAATTCGCTCATCTCTAATTTTAACAATGCTGTGGGAACTCCAGGTTGTATACTGGATTATTATTTTATTGTCTTATCAAATTCAAGAACTTCTCTTTATAATATGAATCACTGTATTAGGAGTTTTTATTTTATACATGTATGCAATTGCCTTTAGGTGTGAATGGCACCAGTGCCAAGCAAGTAGTCATCTGCATTTAATTACGAGTTGAAATGTGCGTTATTCAGAGATTCAGATGTATCGGAATCTCTGAATCACAATAGTAACAAATTTCAACTAATCTAAAATAAATATAATAATGAAAACAATAAATTCATTTGTATGCGTTCGTTTCATTTGGATGCAATAGTTTGAGCCTTTTGTTAATGTTTTCAGCATCCTGGAAAAAGGTAACATAACAAATGATCCGAATTTAATCAGATCCATGTGTTTTTATTCTAGTAAGCATAGCATGAATATTCTAATAAGATTCTTTTTACATTAGGGTTGAACTTGAGGGGCCATTCGTTTAATTTGTATATGCAAGGCCCAACAAAGTCAGTTGGGAGTCAGGAAATTATTTCAACTTAATACCATAACAAATGAAAATGTATTCATTAATTACAATAAAACGAATATAGCCAGTCTTCCGAAATAACAAAAGAATAAAAGAACTTCTGAAAATATAAGTTGATTCGGAAAAATGAATATATACTCTCCCGAAATAATGAATGATTCTGAATACGTATCATTCTAACATAATGATTATGACAAAATAAAATGATTAACTTAAGAAATGAAACCGAAAAAAAACAGAACACATTTTTACACCATGTACTTCTCTACAAGCAGGCAACCCCCTGTGGCCAGTGTACTGAGGGGAAGCCACTAAACACAGGACCTGGAAGTTTCTCAATGACTGCAAGAATGCAGCCAGAGAGAAGGAAAAATTATTGTTTTACAGTCTTTATGGGCGTAAAAGCAATCAGTGTAAAAAAAAAACCAAAAAAACTCTTCATCGCCCTTCACAAGCAGTACAGTGCGGACACTGTACTGCTAGGGTGACAGTATGTAAAAAAAAAACAAATAATAATATTAAATATTAAATAAAAATGTAAAAAAAATCGAAAAATTATATTTGATTATAAACTAATTTGTTTTTTTTTTACCAAAAAGATAGTTGAATACAAGATTTATGAAGAAAGATTATTTATTTGCAAAAAAACACTTTTTTTTCAAAATGTTTGGACTTTTTCATTTATATATCAAAAAAATAAAAATCCCAGTGGTGAATAAATGCCACCAAAATAAAGTTTTATCTGTCTCGAAAAAATGCAAAAAAATAAATATGAATACAGTGTTGCATGACTGCGCAATTGTCATTCAAAGTGTGATAGCACTGAAAGCTGAAAATTGGCCTGTACAGGAAGGGGGTGCAAGTGTCCGGACTTGAGGAGGTGCTGAAATCCATACATCCTGCCTAGGAAGGCTGATCCCACACTATACATCCATATCACCTCCATATAACAGAGCGCAATACAGCTGCTGACCCCCCCCCACTTTATGATCATTAACCCATTACAGAAAACTTTGCTGGATTGCAGCAGAGAGAGGGTTCCTCCCTCCTTTTCCAACCCTTGCTTAGGCAGCTGCTGTAGGGCACCGGGATGGAGGGACAGTAACATGCACCTTTGCCTAAGTGCACAAAAATCCTTGCACCAGCCCAGCTTGTTGTCGTCTCCATTACATAGAGTGTAGGTGTTTTGTAATTCACAGAGGTAATAAGACAAAAACACTTTCAATAGTTTTTTAAAACCCAACTACTAAAAATCCAAATAACTTTAACGTGCAATACCAAAGTTGTTTTTAACTTTTTTGTCTCTGCAATCTTTTAATAATATACTATCTTGTTCAGACAGTTTCTGTTTATAGAGGAACAGCTGTCCACCAGTAGTTCACCTACCTTGTCACCCTGTCACACAATGATTGGACCTGCATGGTCCAATATTTTCACCATTAGGAAGTCTGTTCTAAGCAGTAATGTTCTACCAGTGCTGTAATACTGTATATGCATACAGAAAAGAAAGTAGAAAATAATCTGGAGGAGATCAGCAACACTGAGATACAATACAGGATGAGCAAAAGGTGATAACTGTATTTTATGAAAAAGGCCATAGGAATGGTTCATGATTCACAGTGCATTACCAAACCAAGTGTTGTCCATTTCGGGTTTAGATCTATTTTATTTATCATGTGCAATTGGATTTAGCAAGATAAGATTTTATGTTTTTAACTTGTTGAATTAAAACGGAGCTCCACTCAAAAGGGGAAATTCCTCTTAGCCTAGGTTCACACTACAGCGGTGTGGTAAATCCCATGTGATTCGCACAGGAACCGCACCGCATTCCTGTACAAATCATATGCGATTTGTATGTGGTGCGATTAGAGCCATACATTTTGTATGGCTCTATTCGCCCCACACCTATGCGATCCGATTCTGGACATTGCACTGCATTTTGCGGACCGATGTCAGGGTGTTGTTAACTTAACATACACACCCGCATCGGTTCGTATGAACGGAGTGTGATTGTGATGCGGTGCGAATTCCGCACCGCATCACTGTGAACCAGTTCTTAAGGATTGGCACCTTTGGGGAGCAGGGGGGAGGGTGTACCCAAATTTGACAGGCACCCGCTTCTACTTCTGCTGTGATCGCCTAGGCAATTGGAAGTGTAAGTTGTCTTCCCTCCCCGTAGTCTTCTGGGACACGTGACAGGTCCCAGACAACTACAAGACCATTCAGCAAGCACAATGCTACTCGTGCATGCGCAGTAGGCACCCGGTTGTGAAGCCGCAAGCTGTCACAGACAAGTGCTCACACTGAAGATGCTGGCACAGGATGGCCAATGAATCTGGCTGCGGTGAGGGACAACTGAGTATGTTTTTTTAAAAGTCAGCAGCTACAGTTTTTTTAGCTGCTAACTTTTTTTTTTTTTTTTAGGATTGACTGGACAACTGCTTTAAACATTTAAAGTCATGTAATTGCTGTGGTTGTAGACACATATTGGGGTTGATTTACTAAAACTAAAGAGTGCAAAATTTGGTGCAGCTCTGCATAGAAACTATTCAGCTTCCAGGTTTTATTGTCAAAGCTTAATTGAACAAGCTGAAGATTGATGCTAATTGGCTACCGTTCACAGCTGCACCAGATTTTGCACTCTGCAGTTCTAGTAAATCAACCCCACTGTACAGGGTCATTTGCAGCATTGTGTCGTTGGCACTTTTGTTAGCATGTTGGTTATTGTTTTATAATTGTAGGAGTGCAGAACTGGATCCTTTTGGCTTCACTTTTGGTAAAACGTGGTTACAATAGATTGCTAACACTTTGCCCTGTCTATGGCATCCTGGTACAAGGCAGGTGTTCTTGCATCTTTTGTGCAAATTGCTCAGTGTAAGTAGTTCACAAAAATGGTAAGTGGTTGTACAAAAATATCATATCCCAGAGTTGATTGCTGTAAAAAAATGTCCTGCTTATTTTTGTGAAAAAGAAAAGGTCTGTCAAGAGAAAATATTTTGCGTGCGTCGGTGTCAGTGTCAGTTTCTTGCCATTAGCGGTACGTGTGTATCACACCTTAGCTAAGCCTTACCTTTACAAATCTAAAACAAAAATTCCCACCTCACTTACCAGCCAGGCTGAGAGTCTCCCAAGTTGGAGCCCCTATAGCAATGGATAGATTAAGAGCTGGTGTGCCTAGAGGGAGCCCATCCCCCCCTCAAGGTACTGGGACACACGGGACATCCAGCAAAGACACAATGGCAGCTGAAGGTATCTTGTGTGTTCTTGCATAGATTCAACCAACTATACAGACAAATGCAACCACCCCATTCTATAACTAGCCTTTGTATAATAACATAAACTTCACTTGTCAAACATATACACGAAGAAGTCCCCCATACCTATGAAAAGCGATAAAATTAGTGAAAAATAAATCCAATATAGTGACATATAATATAAAATTCACTTATCATACATAATCACATAGCCCCTAGAAGACGTCTTTTGATGACAAAACACGACAGAAAAAGCCTCTCTCTGACGTCATCGTGCTGTCGGCCATCTTGGAAATGGTTCTTTTGAATGCTTTACAGCACTCTATAGTTTGTAAGTAGGATTTTATTTTGCACAAATAAAGGATTGTCAAACTTACTGCACTATGAAAGGCATGTTTTTTATTTTATGATATTATTTGGCATCGTTTTGGAGTCCTTATTTTGATTTAAGAGGCTTGGGATATTCCTGATTCAGGTATGGCATGGAGAACTGGATGATATCCTATATTGCAATGCTGGTTGAGACCCCTTATAGTTAAGTGGTCTTGGTTTCTGGTAAGCCTCCATTCATTTATTTGGTGGTGGTGCACATATTGATGAATATGTGGAGAATTAGAACCTATGACATCACAGTTTGATCTGTCTACTATAAATCATCTATTACCCCCATTTTGCAGGAGGTTTTCAACGGAATATGGGGAGGGGGTTCTTATCTTCCACCAAGCCCATATCAAATTAATAGCAAAAAAAAAGGTAAAGACCCCTCTAGGCAGGGTCCTATTGTACAAACTCCTATTTAAATATAGACTCTAAACTTCTATTCAAAATTATAGAGTTTCGACTCGCATCTATACTGCCGTCGCTGATACATCCCTCCCAGGTAGGCTTTGTAAAGCGTTGCTCAGCATCATCTAACATCAGAAAGGACATAACTGTCTTAGAATATGCAAGGACACATCTGTCAGAGGACCTGGCTATCATAACACTGGACGCCGAAAATGCTTTTGACAATGTGAGCTTTCAATGATTCTTCTTGGTCCTCAACCGGTTGGGTTTCAAGGGGGCCTATACTC